GATACAAATGCACCATCGGGCAAGAAATCTGCGTGCCACGTTATGTACTGCCTGCTACTATTATTTGAAGGATTGTTTTCGTTATGGCTAATGGATTAGGGTTCTAGCAGAGAAACAGCCACAGAGGGAGATACTGGATGTGTGTTGGGGGGGGCGGGGAGGGAGAACTCTTGACTTGAGGTCTGAGCTTCAGGCTGGAAACTCCTGGCCAGAATTTGTGGCTTCAGCTAACAGAATTTTTTCTTTCTCAGAGAATCCTCAAATTTTTAATCTTAAAGACTTCAGTTAATTAGAGGAGGCCCACCAGCATTATGGAGGGTGACCAGCTCTACTAAAAGTCACTGACTGCAGATATCAGTCATATCTACGAAATACCTTTATAGCAACACCTTGGTAGCTGGTACTGTAGCCTAGCCGAGTGGACACAAAACTATTAATAAACTGTGACATGTTGCTATATGATGATCATTTAAAAATTCGTAAATGAGGGCTGCTTGGGTGGTTCAGTTGGTTAAGCATCTGACTTTGGCTCAGGTCATGATCTCACAATTCATGGGTTTGAGCCCCATGTCAGGCTCTGTGCTGACGGCTCAGAGCCTGGAGCTGCTTCAGATTCTGTGTCTCCCTCTCTCTCTGCCCCTCCCCTGCTGGCGCTCTGTGTCTTTCTCTCTCAAAATAAATACAATTTTTAAAAAAATTTAAATAAAAAAATAGATTGTTTGAATGATACATGGGCAGAATCTGTTACTTTGAGTTGTAAGGAAAATGTGATATTACTGTTAGGAATGTAAATATAAATATGGAATAAGCACAAATAGTAATCTTGTGGCTCAGAATGACAGTTACACATGTAGAGGGAGGGCCCAGGGGCACCCCTCTGGGGACTTCCAGGGGGAGCAGGGAGGTGGGGACGGTGCTGGGTCCTGGAGGCGAGGGGACACAGTTGTGGCAGCGTCACCTGTGCCAGCGCGTCTGAGGGGTCCCCGGAGGCACAGATGGAGGGCGCTCCATGGAGCTTGGCGGTCCGCGGCCGGCTGGGGAGGCTGAGACACGAGAGTGTGCAGGAGGGACAGATGGTGTTTGCAGGCGGTTTTCTGTGAAGGGCAGCGGGGACGTGCGCTAGGGGAGGGTGCAGGCACCGCGGTTTGTACTGGATCCGGGAGCCACTCGCCAGGCACAGCGCAGGCACAGGCTCCGGGTGGGGAGGCAGGACTGATTCGCGCTCAGAGCGGTGGGTGGTGACGACACAGGTGGTCTTTATTTCCCCTGAGGGCATGGGAGGAGGACACTGCCTGACACACTCAGAGGTCCCCAAGAACGAGGCCACGAGTTTGACACAAGGCTGATCAGCCACTTGTTTCCCTCTGGCCACATGGTGCTGCCTGTGTGTGGCTGGACTGACGGTCAGCGGTGGCCATGATGCCAGAGGGTGACAGGTCGGGGTGTGTGAAGTCAAGGGGCACAGTGACGGGCCTGGAGTTAGAGCTGCACGAAGAGAGTGTGTGCATTGCATGGGAATGACCCAGAGAGGCAGCACCGTGGGGGACACGTGGGGCACAGACACCCCGGAACTCAGCAAGGTCAGGCATAGGACCCTGTCAGTGCAGCCAGCTGGGGACCCGACCACGGGAGGAGAGGAGGCCCAGGAGTGGCCAGGCCGGGACAGCATGTGTGAGGGTGCACACTAGCCGCGTGCACACCAGCCCATGCACACCAACCCCATACACACCGGCCCCATGCACACCAGCCCCGTGCATACTGGCCCTGTGTATACTAGCCCCGTGCTCACCGGCTGTAGTGCGCACTGGACCCTTGAGCACACCAGCCCCGTGCACACCAGGTCCATACACACCAGCCCTTGTATACCAGCCCTTTGAGCACACCGGCCCCGTGCACACTGGCCCCTTGTGCACATGGCTGGTTTTCTCTGCTCTACAGGCCTTGTGCATTGAGGCAAGTGTGCAAGATGCAGTGGGTAATTCGTGTTGACAGATTTCTCGGTGCACTTGCCCTGCGCCAGTTTCCAGTCCCTGGTATGGACGGGGGGTTTGTGCCCACATTCCTATGACCCCTGGCCCCTGGGTGCCATTAGCAGGTGGGCCCGTGGAGGTGATCAGGGTTCAGTCAGGTCATGGGTGGGTCCCTGAGGTGGGATCAGTGTCCCTGCAAGGAGAGACACTAGACCCCGCACCACACACCGTGCACGCCATCTGAGGCTGGGGAGGAGCCTCACTGGTGTCGAGCCCACTGGCCCCTGACCTCAGGCTCCGGCCCCTGAACTCTGGCAGATTGGCTTCTGTTGTGGGTGCTCCCGCCAACCCACTAAGACCCCAGGGGTTTGAATGGCTTGAGTGGCTTTTGTTAAAAGCTCGGAAAGATTTGGGGCCCCTGTGGGGGCTCAGTCTGTTGACACCTGACACTTCAGCTCACTCAGCTTATGGTCTCATGGTTCGTGGGTTGGAGCCCAGAGTCAGCCTCTGTGCTGACACCACAGAGCCTGGAGCCTGCTCTGGATTCTCTCTCTCTCTCTCTCTCTCTCTCTCTCTCTCTGTCCCTCCCCACTCACGTGTGTCCTCTCTCTCAAAAAATAAAAAGTTAAAAAAAAATAAAAAAGGCTTGGGAAAATTCACATGGAAGTCGAATCCTTTCTTAAAAGGGAAGACCCTTGACGTGGCTGCAGGAAGGCAGGGCTCAGCAGGGAATCAGAGGCAGAGGTTGGCAGCCCACGGATTCCCTGTGGGGATGGGACAGATGTGCCCTGGGGTCATGATGCAGGAGGAGGCCTGTGATCATGGACTTCAATTCAAAGCCAAAGGAAGGCCGACCTGGAGGCTGGAGTCAGGTGTCGGCCCTCTACACCTGTCGGTCTTCCCGCGATGGCTTGCGAGGAAGATGGTGTTAGTGCCCCTTGGTGAATTTGGAGGCATTAATGATCAGCGTTCACAGACATTTCTTTTTTTTCTTAATATTTATTTATTCTGGGGTGAGCACAAGCAGGGGAGGGACAGAGAGGGGAACAGAGGACCTGAAGTGGGGATCTGCACTGACAGGGCCTTGAACTCACGGACTAGGAGATCATGACCTGAGCCAAAGTCGAACACTCAACTGACTGAGCCCCCAGGCGCCCTTGCTCACAGACACTTCTGAACATGCAGACAGACTTGGCACCAACGTGGGAAAGACACACGATGAAGCGGAGCCTTCGTGGCCTGCACATGGGGGTCTGGAACATCATGGTGGGCAGAGGAGGTGAGGGGCCCCGCGTTCTGTTCAAAATGCCTAATTCCTCCAGGCCACTGGCCGCAGGCTTTGCTGTCATGCAGACAAAATCAGCTTGTCCGAGGTGGTGTCTCCTCAGGGGCCTAGGGAGTCGTGCTCGAGGGCAGACTCGCGGAAAGATGCAGTGGGTCCTTTGGGGTTAATCACCTCCACCACACAGGTAGGAGACCTTAATGCTTTGAGGTGCATTTTGCATCCTGAAAGCCTCGTGGGCAGCACCAGATGTGTGACTGCTCTTGTAGGCGGGGAGTGTGCGTCCGGAGAGGCGGGCTGGGGGCACACCCGTCTGCCGAGGCCGGGGAAGGGGGCCACCTGCACGCACAGACCCAGACTGTTGTCGTCTGGGGGACGCTCGCTCATTGAAGTTTAAAGCCATGTGAGCTCTGGACGTCTCAGGGCTTCTGCGCTCTTCCCGGATGTGGCCAGTGCCTGCGACCCCACGGGCCTCCGGGAGGGGCTGCTGCTTACGGCCGGGGGCCGGTGGTGGTCCCACGGGTCAGATGGAGAGAACACGGTGGCACTGAGCTGCCCGCAGATGCGTCAGGCCCCGCTGCTACGTCCTGTCCGCGAGCAGAGGCTGGTGCCAGGCAGGGGCCGCAGGCCGTGGGTGCTCCAGGCGCACCTGGTCTGGGGGTCTGACCCCTCCCGTGAGTTCCTGAGTGACTTGGTCCTACTGTGTGTGTGAAGGCGGGTTTGGACCTCGTCCCCGGCAGTGGACCTTGTGCACTTGTCCAGACAGCAAGGGACAGCCTGGTGTCCACCCCCCTTGCGTGTGGCTTATGTGAGGCGGGAGGCTGTCAAAGCAGGGCCACGGGGAAGGAGGAGGGAGGACGTGGAAGGTGTGGGAGGGACGCCACGGAGGCGAGTCTGCAGCTTCGTGGCCTGTGGTCTGTGGTCTGGAGTGTTTAGGGGAATTCAGGGCCTGGTGTGAGGTCACAGTGGAGGCGATGCAGCCATCGGCAGGCGGGTCCAGATCCCCTAGGGCGGAGTGCTGTGGACTGACAGACGAGGGCGTTTGTGTGGTCCTCAGGGCGGTGGAGGGGACGACAGGAGGTGTCTGAGAGACAGGACTCGGGCGTGACAGAGCCGAGCGCGTGGGGTCCCCGTGCCGGCGGGGTGGGCCCAGCCACACACCCGCTGAGCTCGTCACATCTGCTTCAACTCCAGTGAGCGTGCTGAGCACGGGAAGCCAACGGGACGTGGGTAGAAGTGGAGCCCCGTGGCGGGGACACGTCGGCACAGGGAGGGGACACCCGCTCCTCTCTCCAGAATTAAAATATGCTTCATACCCTGAAGTGGGGCCTGTGGTCTGCGGTGTCTCAGCTGTGCGGTGGTGTGCACTCTGCTGACCTCTGACCCTTGGCTCTTGGGCCCATTTCGACTCTTCACCTGACTTGACTTTTGGGGAGACAGTGTGCGTGGTGGGTGGGTAGCCTGATCTTGTAGAACACGGCTCGCCCCTGCCAGTGTGCACGAGCGTCCGTGTAGATGGAGCACAGGCAGCATGTGCAAGCGTCCGTGTAGACGGAGTGCGGGTGGCGTGCACGAGCATCAGAGCAGATCGCGCACAGACCTCCAGGCGTCCACAGGCCCTCACGTCCCAGGAAATCACTGGCGTGGAAATCTTGAGAAGCAGGCCAGGTGTATAGAACTCTTGTGTCTAAATTCCGTGTCTGGTCCTGTCGTGATGGTAAAGTGGCTATTTTTTGTCGTGTTGACAGGTGCATCTTTTGAGAAACGCTGGCGACGAGGTGGCCGTCACTGTTGAGTATCTCAGGGAGGCGCCGGCATTTCTGAAGCTCCCAGTAGGTAAGGGCGGAGAGGCCGTCAGGGCGCTGTCCTTCCTCGCCTCACTGTCTCGCGCTGGACGTGGCCCTGACAGGTGCGCGTCGGGTCCCCGGCGCGGGTTCGGAGGGGGCAAGGGCGCCGAGAGATACCCCGCGTTTTCACGTCCACAGGCTCTTAGAGGAGGCGTCCAACTGCCGCGTGCCAATTAATGAACTTCGTGGGTGGGTTCACGGCTCACGTGTGCTCCCTTCCCCCCACCCCCCCCGCACACGGGCATGTGTACCGGAACTAAGTCGTACGTGAAGTACTTGTGTTGACTTGAGAAACAGGCTGTGCAGGGGAGAAGACAGTCATCCGTGCGGGGAGGGGGGACGGCCATGCGTGCGGGGGGGACGGCCGTGCGTGGGGGGGGCGTTAGACGGCCGTGCGTGCGAGGGGGGACGGTCGTGCTTGCGGGGG